GGTGATTGTTCGCCTTTTAAAGTTTGAGAAGACTGGTCTAGAAACACATGGGCCTGCACAGTGTGGAATTGAGCTGTTCTTAATTCCATCACTGATTTACATGTTGGAAAGACCACTTACTGTTTTTCAAGAATCTCCATTTTTTTTTTCTCCTCCACAAAATAAAAATAGTTTTGGCAAAGCCTTGGGAGCTAGATGAGATAGTCTGGAAAGTGCCTTATGTGGTGGAGGGAGTTAACGTCCTGTTATTTTATGCAGGAAGGCAGATACACTCTTGAGAGGAAGGCTAGCAGTTGCACTGGAAACCCTTGACTGTCAGACAGATCATTTATTTCACTGTAGAAGACAAGGGAGGTGGGAATGATGGACTTGGCTTCTCTTCCTAACATGAGACAGACCAGTGGTCTTTGCTGGCAGTCTTTTTCCTTGCTCTTTCTACAATCTGGTAAAATATGATAAATGATCTAGTGCTTCCTAGTATGAAATTATAATGTAGAACAATATTTACATAAAAATACGACAGGGAGATTTTAGAACACTACTTTATTCAGAAGCCTCAAAAAGGCATGGGGTTAACATACCAGCACTGCCCTCTCTGGGGGGATTGGGAAGACTCTAACCTCTTTGGGGGGATTGGGAAGACTCTAACCTGTGCTCTGGGGTCAGATGTAAGTTGTATTTTGTTGTGTGCTTATACCCTTTGGGCCTTTTGTTATCCTATGAATTCTGTTTATCATCTGCTCCCATTATTATTGAATGCTCATTTTATGGCCCTATGAAGACCTAAGGACCAGCCCTTAGCAGCAGTAAAAACAATACCGAGCTCCTGGTTGGGTCATGGACATGCCTGGGTCACAGGTATGTCCCCTGAGTATTTAGTGATATATTGCACATCTCTCAGATTATGACACAAAAAAGCCAATAGGGATTTTTTCTGGACTCCTAATATCACCATTTATTATTTTATCGTCCTTATGTTTGTGGGCAATTCTGGAATCCAGTTATTAGAGGTCAGACGTATGTATAGTCTTTCAGTTTCAGGTTCCCCCCAGGAAAGGTGGACGACTAGAGGCAGGAATACAGCAAGAACATTTACCTTTCAGGTTTTCCCCTGTTTCTCACAACAGCTCTAACCTTATCTGAGCATACTTGCCCCTTCCTTTTATCACCACTTTCTAAATGAATTCAAATAGAGAATTTTTTTTGAATATTATTTGGTCCTATTTTAGGTGAATTCTGTATTAATTTCAGTAATCCCCAAAGGTCCACTTTACCTATGTGTTAATTTTAAAGTTTCACTGTTTCTTGAGAGACTAGAAGATAAAGTTGTACATGCAACATACACATGCACACAGACACTATACACACATACCCCATACTATACACACACACCCCACACTACACATATGCATACCATACAGACTACATACACACAGACACCACACACAACACACACTGCACACACACACAAATACCACACACACACACACACACACACGTGTATTCTCATGATTAATGCTCTCAAATTTAGGTCAGGGGAAGGAATGTGTATGGGGGAGAAAGATAATTTCTGATATTTTTTAACATAAAGATAAAATATATCCATATAAATATTTTAAATAATAATAAATCTACCTAAAAGGCAGCCCTGTTTATTTTTCATTTAGGAAATGTACTTTATGCCACATTATTCCAAGATTCTAAAATTATTTTTATCTTTACTAATTTAATATCTTTTGAATTTGATATGTAGTCTTAATATGATCATTTTACTGTGACATAATTACAAACCAATGTATTGTCAAAGATAATTTTATTTTCTATCACAATCTTTAATAGCACTACTGAGCTGCTTCATGAACACAGAAATTTAAAGAAATCATTTTATTATTTTCTTCATTACATACTTATTTGGTTCACTTTCTGAAGTTTACTTAAAAAATATGGTAGCATTGAAAGTTCTGTATTAAGGCTATATTCAAAGTAGAATCTCACCTGCCTTGCTGTAAAAGGAAAGGACATACAAAAATTATTGTGTCCCTGTATGTCTGAAATGTCCCAGGGTCCTCAATCCTAATGTCCCCTCTGAGAGTCAGATGTCTTTTCATTTAATTTTCTTAAGGCTTTCTAACATCTCCAGCCTAACCCAACACTCTTACCATCCTTAGTATTTTTACTGTGCAAGTATCATCAGTTATCACAACAATCTCATAAAAACCTACTTTCTTGTTTTATTGAGAAGTATTCCACATGCCATAAAATCCACATATAAAAATGGTTCAATGTTTTTAAAGATATTTACAGAGTTGTACAACTATGTCTACAATTTAATTTGAGAACATCTTCAACACAACATATAACAAAAAAAACCCGTACTCCTTTAACTATCATCCCCTATTCCTGCTTACCCCTTCCCTAGCCCCAGGCAACCACTAAATATACTGTCTGTCTTTGTGGATTTCCTGTCCTGACATTTCATGTAAATGGGCTCATGTAAATGTGATTTTGTGACTGACTTTTACTTAGCAGAATGCTTTCAAGTTTCATCCATGTTGTTGTATGTATCAGCACTTCATTGCTTTTAATTACTGAATAATTTTCACTCTATGCATATACCATATTTTGTTAGCCATCCATCAGTTGATGAACATTTGAGCTATTCCCACCTTTCGTGTACTGTGAATTGTACTGCTATGTATACTCAGGTACAAGTTTGTGCTAACATATGTTTTTAATTCTCTGGAGTATATACCTGGGAACGTAATTGCTGGGTCATATCATAACTTTGTGTTTGGCTTTTGAGGAGTTGCCAAACTTTTCCTTAAAGTGGTGGCTCCATTTTACATTCTTACCAGCAATGTATAAGGGTTCCAGTTTCTCCATATCCTTGTCTACATTTATTGTCCGTCTTTGTAATTTTAGCCATCCTGGTGGGTGCAAAGTAGTATTTCATTGTGGTTTTGATTTGTATCTATCTAATGACTAATGATGTGATCATCTTTTCATGTGCTTATTTGAGAAAAAGTCACTCTTTATGTCTGTACACAGTCTGAGTCAAAAAGTCTAATTGTGTTCAAACTCAGTTTTGAAGATCTCCCCCCTTTTGGAGTCTGCTTTGGTAGAGAGAAAAGGGGTTTACTGACCAATACTTTAAGTTGGTCACAAAGTTAGATCAACATCTTTGCCCTCTGTTTTCTGGAAAAATATTGAGAACACCCAAGGTAGTTTTCTGGCAGTAGATGAGAGAAAATTACTGCTTAAATATTTCTAATTTCACAAGAGTAAACTGTAAAGTCAAGTTTGCTTGATTTTGAAGTTATTACATTAATATCATATGCTTTTCTCTCCCCTTTGGAGAGGCCCCTTTTTGTAGTTCTTCCTAATGTCATACTTTTTAGATGGCCTTCTATCAAGCTTATTCTCAGGATAAGATGTGAAATACATAGACACTAAAAAGGACATGATGAAAAAAGAAATCTCATTGTGTATCTTTCTTAAAATTATTTTCAGAGAATAAAGGAATAAAGGACCAAAGTTCTTAGTGGGATATTAAAGCAATATCAAAAGATGAAGATTTTTCTTTGGGTAATCTGTATCACTTGGGGTACTCATTTGTACATGACTGAAAACTACCCTGAGAGTAGCTTAACAAAGGCTCCCATTAGTTGCAAGGGCTCCAAAAAAATCACCAAGATCCATGTTTTAGCTGTATCCTATATATTGATTACATTCTTAGGATTCTTAGGGTGATCCCTGCAGGCTTCTAGCTCACATCATCACATGTTTAGAAAAAAAAGAGAAATTGATCCCTTATACCCCAACCAAAGTCTCAGAACTGAGTTTTCTTAGCCCCATTTGGCCTGACCTGAAGCACATGCTCATCCCTGAATCAATGACTATGGGCAGCATGAGGGAACTGCCATTAGCTTAGCCCAGTTCATGTGAGTCCCCCCTGGATCCTGTGTGGAGTCACTTCACTGGATGCATTTGGGCTGAGGCTAGGAAGTTGTAGTTAAGAAAGGGGGTGGGGGTATGTGTAATGATCATTATCTGCTCAAAGCCACAGATCACGAGGGGATTTGTTCTCTCAAAGGGCAGTTCGAGGAAGAACATTAAAACTCTTCAGGGAGAAAAATACCCCCAAAACAAAACAAACAAACAAACAAACAAACAAAAACTAAAACTCACCAAGGGCAATGGTTCTCAAGCTTTAGAGTATGTATTAGTTTGCAAGGGCTTGCTTGTTCCACCGTTATGTTTTGGAAGCAGATAACTTGTTTTGCAGGTTCACAGATGGAGAGGAATTTTGCCATAGTATGAATCATTCCCTGAGTCTCACCAATACCACGTTTAGATGATGTTTGGATTAGATTTTGGACTTTGAATTGATGTTGGAATGGGTTAAGACTCTTGGAGATGATGGAATGGGATGAATGCATTTTACATGTGAGAAGGACATGAATTTGGAGGAAGGGAGTTACATGGTGGGCTATTATGAGTTCAATTTTGTCCTTCCAAAATTCTCATGTTGAAATCCTAATTTAGAAATACCTTAGAATGTGACCTTATTAGAAATTAGGTTATTGCAGATGTAATTATTTAAGAGAGGTTGGGAGGGTGAGTCCCCAATCCAATACAACTGGCATCCTCATAAAAGAGGGATATTTAGACACAGAGACATATACACAGGGAAAACACCCCATGATATTGGAGTTCTCCTGCCACAAGCCAAAGACCTACCAAAATCTAGGAGGAAGGTCTGAAAGAGATCCTTCCCTAGCACCTTCAAAGGGAATACGGCCCTGTCCTAACAAAGTACCATAAACAAGTGGCTTGAACCACAAAAATTTATTGTCTCACAGTCCTGGAAGTTAGAAGTGTGAGATCAAGGTGTCAGCAGAGCAGCTGTGTTAGTCCTTGTGTTAGGACCACAGCATCTAATGTTCTCAACTTGATTTTAACTGGGTTTATTGTTATTGCTTTTTTTTTTATTTTAATAGAAGAAACAAAATTGTCTGAGGATGATGAAATGGAGAAACTCTACAAATCGTTAGAACAAGCTAGTCTTTCTCCTCTTGGGGACCGTCGACCTTCGACCAAAAAGGAGTTGAGAAAGTCCTTTGTTAAGCGGTGTAAGAATCCATCCATAAATGAGAAACTTCACAAAATCCGAACCTTGAATAGCACATTGAAGGTAAAAAATTTCAGATTGTGGATGAATTCTGTGGATGTGTGGGGCATGGCGTGGCTGGTTCTGCAAAGAGATTCATGCTCACTAGTGTGTTTGTATGGGTGGAGAGGAGGGCAGTGAGAACAAGTATAATTGTCTGTAGGGTCAAATGACCTTTGGCATCCTTGAAGCACTAGAACATTCACACAATAGCACTCAATGCACTTTCCTAAAATAGGGCTTTGACCTTTACATTCACTTTAGTATAAAAGTTCAAATCCCTTACCTTGCACAATAAATGTTAATGAGGGCTTAAGATAGTGAGAGTGAGATATTCTTGTGAGAATAAGCAGTGATATGAAGTAAGATCTTGGAATTCCACTTGACTCATTAAAGAGTATCATTCTTCTCCAACTACATCCAGAAGAAAATCTCTAGATTTCAGATAGATCCAATACTTTGTGATTGTCAGCCCAAAGCTCTGGAGTGAGAAAACGCCATGAGAGATGGGGAATGGGAAATGTATACTAGATTGTAATGAGCCAGCAGATGTTTTCACAATGGGAATGGGGGACACATGGTACACAACATACTGAGGCTATTTTCAGGGCTTCCTGAACGAAAATGGTTCTTCATAACAAAAGCATATTGCTTTCACATGTAGATTATAGCATAAACAGGAGGAGGCTGAGAAACTTTGCAAATAGTTCCACATTAGCAGAAGATTTATAGATTCTGAAAAGCCTTGATAGATTCTGCAATTTAATTTTGGCTTGTACATGTCCTTTTGCATCAAGAATTTGAGTCTTTTTCCAGGAAGAAATGCCAGCAATCAAAGAACAAGGCTACAAAGAAATGACTGAATGAGTCTTAGTCAGATATCCCTGTTAGTAGAATAGTTAGGCACCCCAAGGCTGCAAAAAATGAGGCTGAAAAGAAAAGACAGAGGAATATTTTAATTATACAAAGAAAACCCAAATGCAGAGAAATTTGCCAACATTTAATGATGAAAGACATTAGTAAACTCCTTTCAAAGCCAAATATGTTATATTTTATGGTACGCATGAAGTTGATAAATATATTTGATCATTCAATGTAATATGCCATACATAACATGTTGAGATTTACTATTTTAGCTATAATAACTGATGTGAGTGAATACATTTTTCTTTTTTTTAAAGACTTTAATTATTTGAGAGAGAGAGAGAGAGAGAGAGAGAGAACAGAGGGAGAGGGAAAGGGTAAAGCAGACTCTCTGCTGAGCAGGGGGCTCAATGTGGGGCTTGTTCCCAGGACCTGAGCCGAATGCAGATGCTTAACTGACTCAGCCAACCAGGAACTCCTATGTTTTTCATTAGACAAATATTTCCTGAATCTTTCTAAGTCCCAGACTCTATTCTTGGTCTCCAGGAGCATTGAATGCACACCACCAGACAGTGCAAACAGAGAGGAAAACAGAATGCAATGTGTTGAACGGTGTAGCTGATAGAAGCTTGAGTGCTTTGATGGAGGGAGGAAGAGGGTGGAGGGACATGGCTGCCTATCTGAGGCCATTCGGGACAAAGTCATGGAGGGGCTGACAACTGGTCCATAAGTAAGAGGTAAAGAATATCAGGGTGAGAAGTAAGGACTTTCATGGAGGAGGAACTGGCCTAGACAAATTGTATGTCAGTGGAGGATACATTGCAGCCCATGTTGGGAGAAGCAAGGAAAAGGCTAAAGAAAGGATGGACAGTTCAGGCCATTTCTAGAAGGAGAAAGACTGGGTTTAGCTTTCCATAGAACAGCAGCTCAGGACTCTAGACTGCCATGGGACTGTGCTCTGACCTGGTCACTGGGAGGCCAGGTTTGTACAGAGAATTCAAAGGTTTTACTAGCCATCCGTACACTTCTCTGTGACCCTCCTGCTCTCCATGCACTGTGGCCATGGCTTTTATGAAGTTAGCAGCTTTTTGCTTTTCTCCCAGTGTTTTAATTATCTCTTGTGAGATAACAAAATAGCCCCAAAGTTAGCCACTACAAACAATGAACACTTGTTAGTTCATAGTTTCCTTGGGTCAGGAATCTTGGTATTGGCTTGGCTGGATGCTTCTCCTCCAGGTCTCCTACAGGCTGCAATCCCAGCATCAGTGGGGGCTGCATGCATTTCTCCACTGGGGAAGGAGTGCCTCCAAGCTCTGTCACATGCTGGTTGGCAGGATTTGGTTCCTTGCAGGTTGTTGGACCGAAGTCCCACTTGTTTATCCAGTTCCTTGTCCTGTGAACATATGGTAGCTTTCCCAATGGAAGTTGGCTTTCCTCAGAGTGAGGAAGACAGCAACAGTGAATGAACAAGATGGATCAGACCTGTTTCAGCAGCAACACCACATCACAATTATGGCATTCTATGCATTAGGAGCAAGACACAGGGTCAGCCTATGTTGAAGGAAGGAAATTACATAAGGGCAAGAATGCCAGGGAGCAAGAAGCATTGGGGGCCATCCACCACACCCTTCTGAAGATCTGCAGTCTTTGCATTCCTAGAAAAAGCCCTTTTCACAGATCTCTTAGACGTCACCAAAGTGTAATCCTGGGACTGTTGAAACATAGTCCATGTTATGGAATCCATGAGATAGGAAGACATGCTGATATGGAAATTGCCTTGTTGGGAAAAAAAAAAAAGCACATCAGCCTGGAGAAAGATAATTTGGTATGTGTAGGTTTATTCAAAGGCTATGAAAATTATTTTAACTATCTTTAATTGAATTGAATTAAATCATAATTATCTTTAAAATTCAGGGCAGTCAGGATAGTGGTTGCCTTTGAGGAGAAGGGAAGAAATTCCTCGGAGGGGGCCACAGTACAGTTTCTGAGGTGCTGGATAAGGGTTCCCTCTAACCTCAGTGGTGATTACACAGATATGTCCATTTTGTTGTAATTCATCAAGCACAAACCTTTTTATTTTATTGTTTTATCTTTTTAGATTTTATTTATTTATTCATGAGAGACACAGAGAAAGAGGCAAAGACATAGACAGAGGGAGAAGCAGATTCTCTGCAGGAAGCCTGATGCGGGACTCAATCCCAAGACCCCAGGATCACAACTTAAGCCGAAGGCAGATGCTCACCCACTGAACCACCTAGGTGCCCCAAGCACAAACATTTTTATATGTGCATTTTTGTCTATATATATTACATTGTGATATAAATGTTTATCTAAACAATACTTCAAAACTGCCATGTGAACAAGCAAAGACAACATAGTTTCATGCAGAAACAAGGAAATTTTTAACAATAATGTTTATATTAATGATAGGCACATTTCATAAATAAGGAAAAATCCCTACATTGGGATTGTATTGGAACAAACTCTCTTTATGGAAATTCTTCTAGGAAGTTGAGCCGAATCATCATGTCATACCGTAAATGTAGATCTTTAGGAATTTCTGATAATTCAACATCCATGGACTCTTGACTAAGCCTGTCTTTATTTTAAAATGAGTAATTAATGGGTACAACTGAAACTTGCTCTCAGGGCTATTCTGGTCTGTGTCAAAAGAGGAATGAACCCTGCTTTCCCCAACTTCTCTGGTAGAACACATTTCCGATGCTTAGGTCTTAAGTCAAGTCATATACTGACTATTTGGAGTCAAAAAGGAAAGTAGAGCATTGTCTCTTTGATAGTATTTTCTAGAGGCCCTGCCAAACCTTGCCTGCCTGCCAGAAGGCAAGAAGGATATCATAAATGTAGTACAAAGCATCCAGTGGGCCTCCTGCACTGCAGGAGAGAAGCAGAACCAGTGTGCCATGCCGTTGACTGGGGTGCTGCGCTGAGAAGCACTGCAGAGCCTTCTGTCATTTCATTAATTTCCTTCCTCTCTATTCTTGTGTGTAGTTACTTCTTTTATCCATAAAGGAACTTAACACAGGGCAGCCTGGGTGGCTCAGCAGTTTAGCGCTGCCTTCAGCCCAGGGCCTGATCTTGGAGACCTGGGATAGAGTCCCACATCAGGCTCCCTGCATGGAGCCTGCTTCTCCCTTTCTCTCTGCCTGTGTCTTTGCCTCTCTCTCTCTCTCTCTCTTTCTTTCTCTCATGAATAAATAAATAAAATCTTTAAAAAAAAACGAATTTAACACAGACTTGAGCAAAATAGTAAGGAACTTGAATTGTTTAGAGCTGAAAACCGTATGAGAAGTGTTAGCCCAAAGTTGAAAAGACCTTTCCTAAAACCTTTGATCAGATTTAGAGGAGTGGTTAATTCACTTTGCGTTAAGAAAATCAGTTTTTTAAATTATGTTTATCTGCAAAGATCTTATTTAGCTCTTTCAATAAAATATTAGGCTCTCTCTGAAGCAGATGTCAAAACTTTTTTTGTGTAGAAGAAATTATAATTTTTAATAATTTTTATTAGTTCTTTAATTTTCATCCCAATATAGTTAACATACAGTATTGTATTAGTTTCAGGTGTGAAATATAGTGACTCAACACTCCCATACATTACTCAGTGCTCATCATGGTGTGTTCTTTATTCCCAACAACTATTTCACCCTACCTGTCAAAATTTCTTAAGAGCAAAGTAAAACTCCTTACACAACTTCACATGAATAGCCTTATGGTGATATCAAAGGATGGAAGCTTGTTTTGGGGGGGAAAGGTTGTTATTTGAATGTAGATGTTGAGAACTCAGAGGAAGGAAGGAAAATTCTCTTGGCCTTGCTTGATTTTCTACCAGCAATCTTTTCTAGTTACCCACTTATTTAACCTCTGCTTCTGCTTTTTGGTCAGCCTGCTTGTTATTACTCTTTGGTTATTTTCTCACTACACAATTTCTCTTTCCTTCTTGGAGTCTAAATATATATTTTAACCTCCATCTATTATCACATTCTTGCTCTCTTGATTCAGAATTGTAAATCTTATCACTCAGACTACTATATATGTAGTAAAAAAAATAGAAAAAAAGAAAAGAAAATGTAATAAATGCTTCATGTAAAACAAGTTAAAGCTAATTGTAAAGAACAAATAATACATTTAAAAAAATACATTTTTTGTGCCAATGTTTATGATCATCTAAGACCAGATCCATTATTTGGATAGAATAAATGCTACCAATGCTAGAATCCTAAAATTATGTGCAAATATATAGAGATTTATATCTCTATATCATAAAACAAATATATATAATATGTATATAAAACATATTGTAAACTTTTTACATATTGTAAAACCTATTGTAAATACATATATATAAACCTTTTTTGTTGTTATTTATGGCAAGGATTTCCTTGGGCTCTAAATAGGGTTCATGATATAAAAGATATTTCAAAACAAATGGATAATTATTCACTCACATTTTATTTCAAACATTCATTTTTTTCCCAACAAGTATTTAGTGAATGTCTAGCATGTGTGAATCATTCTTTTATAGCCTTTGATGATACAGGAGTGGTCATATCAGACAAAAATGCCTGTCCTTAAGAAGCTTACATTTAGGTACTAGAAGAAATTAACTAAGTAAATAAATTTTATAGTATGCTGAGTGATGAGAATAGAATGAGGATGAGGAATGCTGATGGATTGATTTTTAACTAAGATAGGTATGAAAAGCCTCTTTGAAAGGTAGAGTGTGAGTAATGTCTGAAAAAGAAAAGGGAGTGAGTCTTGAGCTTATGCAAGGCAGAATATTATAGGCAGAAAGGAGAAAAATGTAAGTGCCTTGGGGTGGGAATATGCCTAGTAGGCTTAAGGAAGAGCAAAGAGGTCGTGTGGCTGGAGTGTTGTAGGAGGATGGGGCATGAGGAGAACAGCGGTGGGTCAGAAGGGTAATGAGAGATTATAACATATAGTGCTTTATTGCCATTGATAATACTTTAGCTTCTACTCAGTGAAATAGGAAGCCTTTGGAAGGTCCTGAACTGAAGTGTGCCATAGTTTGACATATGTTGAAGGTAGAACTTGGGATTTGCTGGTGGATTGGCAGTGAGAGCAGGAGTCAAGGATGACTGCAGTGTTTGGCCTGAGCCACTGTAAAGCTGGAGTTGCTATTAGGTGTTTTGCAAAAGGCCATGATAGGAGCAGGTTTCAGTGTGTTTTGGAAGTTGGGGTGGGTCGGGCATGTAGAGAATAATAGGAGCTTAGTTTTGAAGTATTTGTTTGTTTGTTTGTTTGCTTGTTTGTTTGTTTGTTTGAAAGAGTAGGTGTGCACTTGGAGGGAAGAGCAGACAGGAAGGGAGAGATAGAATCTGGAGCAGATCCTGTGAGGAGCATGGGGCCCTATGAGGGGTTCAATCCCATGACACTGAGATCATGACCTGAGCCAAACCAAGGATCACTTGCTTGACCAACTTAGCCGCCCAGGTACCCCAATAGGAGCTTAGTTTTGGACATGTTATATTTGAGATGCCTAATAAGTGTCCAGGTAAAGCTGCTGAAGAGGAAGTTTAGACAAACAAGTATGAAGTTCAGGGAAGAGATAAGGCTTGCAAGATAAATTTGTGACCCTTAGTATATAGGGAGAAGGGGAGACATGAGATCATAAGAGATGGCAAGAACATGGGTATACGTAGAAGAAAGAATAAGCTAAAAGGGGAGTTCTGGAGCTTTCCAATGTTAAGACTGAGGCCAGAATGAGGAGTCATCAATGGAGATTAAGAATAAGTGGTCAGAGATCCTTGGGTGGCACAGCGGTTTGGCGCCTGCCTTTGGCTCAGGGTGCGATCCCGGAGACCCCGGATCGAATCCCATATCGGGCTCCCAGGTGCATGGAGCCTGCTTCTCCCTCTGCCTATGTCTCTGCCTCTCTCTCTCTCTCTCTCTCTGACTATCATAAATAAATAAAATTTTTTAAAAAAAGAATAAGTGGTCATTTTAGGATGAGGAAAATATGTCACAGAAATGACATGATGAAAGTGTTCAAGAAGAGGTTGTCAACAGTTTTAGATGCTGTTGATAAATAAGTTGAAGATAAATAATTCTTGGATTTAGCAACATGAAGGTCATTGGCTTTAACCAAAACAGTTTTGGTTAAATCCCAATGGGAATGGGTCTGTGAGAGAATGGGCATGGGCAGGGGAGACATTGGAGACAAGGAGAAAAGTGAAGCATTTGCTGGAACAGAGATATGGGGTTAAGAGAGGGCTTAGAAGATGGGAGAGGTGACAGCATGCATAATGATTAAGTGGAGATGGGAAATTAATGAGTCACAAAAAGGGAGAATTGTGGGAGTGAATTTCTTGAGTATGAGAGAGTTGGGTGATATTGCACAAGTGGAGAGAAATTGGCCTTTGCTGGGAGCACAGATATTTCATCCAAAAGAACAGGAAGGAAGGCTGGGTTATACCTGTATTGATGTAGGTAGTGGGCAATAGGAATTTGAGAGAAATGTTCTCATTGTTTCCATTTTCTCAAAAAACAAAAATAGAGAACAAGGTCATGAACTTTACTTTTTTATTTTTTAATATTTTTTAGAGATTTTATTTATTTATTCATGAGAGAGGCAGAGATGGAGGCAGAGGGAGAAGCAGGCTCACTGTGGGAGCCCCACATGGGACTCGATCCCAGGACCCTGGACTCATGCCCTGAGCCAAAGACAGATGCTCAACCACTGAGCCACCCAGGTGCCCCAGGGTCATGAACTTTAAGGGAGAATGGGGAGGAGGTTGAGTAGAGATGAAAAGTGTTGAAATAGTAATTTGGGAGATTGGGAGAGAAAGGGGGTGGGGAAATATGAGTACTGGGTAGTAGTAAAAGCCACTCAATGGCTGTGGTCATGAATTTGAACTGCAACCAATGAGCCTGGTTGTGAATTTTTAGCTATACACATGCTGGCCTGGGGATAGACAGAAAGACTGGTTCAATAACAAACATGTATTGAATGTCTCCCTGGCCCTCAGCAGTGTGTTAGGAGCAAGGAATACAGAGATGAATAAAATGCTTTCTGTCACCTTCCTTAAGAAGCTTTAGAATAGGTGGCATGCAGATCAAGGAACATCTAAGGACAGCATGGTAAGTTCTAAGCATTGGAAGGCACGAGAGCATAAAAAAAAAAGCCTTTCAGTTCAATTTAGGGGTTCAGACAACGTTTTCTAGAGAATATGATGCCTGAAGTGAGTATAGATTTATAAGTTGTGGTAAAATCTGGTACAAAAAGATTGGCAAGTGTTCCATGTGAAAGCAACTCAAGGAAGTAGAGTTTACCAGAAGAAAGATGAAGAAGGTCCTCCATGTGGCACAGTATCATGGAATGTGAACTGATGCTGTGTGGGGAAAATGCACATCAACACTGTTTGAACAGGAAGTAAGGAGGAAGTTAAGTTAGAAAATGGAGCACAAATCTGGAGAACCTCTGACGTGAAGGGGAGCCATTATGAGGACTTAGCATTTTAAGTGGATGCCCTGCATTGCTGTGCAGAGGGGGGTTTAAAGTGAGGATCGGAGCAGCGACATATCAAATGTGATGAACTGCATTTTGTAGCCAAAGTTAGGATTACGGTCAGAGGGACAAGAGTAGATTTGAGATAAAGTTATCAGGACTGGATGATTTTGGATTGTGGAGGCTCTTACATCTCATTTTTTAGCCCATTCTTTGATTATAGAACATTCCCTTAACCTGAGCCAGACGTTTCAGAAATGTTTGTTATTGGTTACAGAGGAGGTGGGGTAAAATAATATGAATAGATTTGTTTGCTCTATTAGTGTCATTGGAACACATACTGTTTTGATGGAAGGGTAGTAGTCTTTGAATAAAAAGATAGCCTATATATTTTTTTGGTATATATTAATTAAATACGTGTGTGTGAGTTATTAAAAAGTCAAGACAATTTAATAAAAATAGAGACATATGTTGGATTATCTGATGTCTTAGGGAAAGTACTGTTTCCCAGTTTTACTCATAGTGAAGCTTGGGTGGTCAATGACATGATACAATTATAAGCTTTAGATGGAATGATGCTCACTTTGAGATAGAAATATTACTGAGGTATGGAATGAGAATTGACCTGGGAAAAGCCACATGGGAGATCCTGGCTAGATGTCTAGTTCTTCCAATAGCCTTTGGGTAGGATACTTAACTTATTTTTGGCAAATATATTACAAATGGATGTCCTGCCATATCTCTTAGGCTTGCTTAGGGATTAGAATAGTAATGTGTAAAAACACTTTGATAATGTTATGATGAATGTATATGTGTATTTGTAAAAGGGCTGAAGAGGATTTATTGAAATTAAGATACTCACTGCATCTTATTGCACCCCCCCCCCCTTATCTTCTACTTGGGCAGTGTAAAGAACATGACCTGGCCATGATTAACCAGTTGCTGGATGATCCGAAGCTGACTGCCAGAAAATACAGGGAGTGGAAGGTGATGAACACCCTGCTGATCCAGGATATCTATCAGCAGCAGCGAGCCCCCATGTCTGCCCATGAAGGCACCCCCGAGGGACTTGAGAAACCACCTTCCTCTGCCTGTGTTGAAAATTCTGTTTGAGAACAAGCCAGCATTTTCTTCCCTTATATTACCCCAAGCAACTTTTGGAGATGTTATAAGAGCTTTCCTTAAAAGGAAAAGTGAAACCAGTTATTCAAGCATTGGCTCCTTCTCTAAAGATGTGACTAAAGTGAGGACCCACTCTGACAGCAACAGGACTCTTCATTCTGCTTGTAGTGCTTACACTGAGACTGGAGGGATTGAGTCCAGCTGAACAAACATCGTGTTTCTACTCGGAGCTCATGGTTATGCTGGGCTCTAAGTGGGATGTGAGAAGTGTAGGTTCCTTGCTCTAAAGAGAATCACAGTGTTCTATGGACAAAGATCATGTTTTACCAGGGATAATTATTCAGAGAAATGTTCTCTTTTCCAAAAGAAGAATCTACAGATTCCACCAGGTTGGGTAGTTGAATTCTTCAAATCATTTCTTTGAGTGGAGGAATGTGTTTTACAGCAGAAACTGGAAGGGAACAAATGTGGTATTACAGAACCAAAATCTCTCGCCTTTGGTCTGGAATGGTGGTGCCTTTTCCATGAGCTGAGAAATACTTCACAGTGATTGGTGTGTGGGATAGCCCAAGGACGTGGCATGTGCTGTTAAACACTCCCTCAAAAGACGGCTTGATGTTTCCACACTACCCAGGTGTGGGGTGGAGGTGGGGGTAGGGTTGGGGGTAAGTGGTCTGATTAGTTTCCTTTCCACAGAACAGCTATAGAGATCTATGTCATCACACTTAGAGGCCTCTACTCCCTCCTAGCTTCTCTAAGCCATTGCAGGAGATAGAAGTAAGTCCAGCAAGGAATGTTTCTTGCTTTTGTCTCTAGGTGTGATGCCAATACACAGTGTCAATTTATATTGTTTCCCCAAGATCAAGATGGACAAGATAATTCTGGTGTCTGAATGGGTTTGATTGATATCTTTACTCCAAAAAAACCCACAAAAGCAACAAGAGACTTACAATATGACTGTTTTATTTTTGTATATTTACGTGTCACTTTGTGTCCTATGTGAATAGCTATCTATAATATGTTTGTTATTTAAGTATATTTATAGAAGGTCAAATTACTAGTGTTTTAAAAGATGGTAAAGTAATTATATGTTTTGCTCAATATATATTCTCCAAGTATATACTTTTTTGCTTGAGAAAATAGGAATACTGTTGATTCAGTGGAGCTTTTATGCTGCACTATGATGTATGAGGAATGCTCAGGATAACTTGTGGGATAAATGTGGAGGCATGTATTAATAATGGTTCAATTTCTAGCTTCTCTTTCCCTCTCGCTCCCTCTCTTTCTCAACCCAGAGTGCTCAGAGTTGTGTCACTCGCTTAACCAGAAAAGGACTTTCACCTTAGGTTATTTTTCCGAGTAAATAAACTTTTTAAGCCTTATGGCATTTATGCCCACAAACCCTAAACCAAATGAAACACAATGAAGATAGTCTTTTATCTGGGGTCTGATAGACATTTTGGGGTCTGCTGTTAATAGAGAAGTAATTATGAAGTAATATGAAGTTATTAGAGAAGTAATATCTTCCCTTATTAATCACCACAAGTATTTTTCATCCTACGAATAACCACAACCCACCAAAAACCCATTTTGCCCTTACCCCTAGCAAATTGTCAGCCAAAAACACACACGGTACCCCGTGTTTCAGAGAGTGAATCTGTGGCTTGACATTAAAATGGAAATAACCCTCTGAATTTTATCTGCAAACCAAATGGAAAGAGTCCTTGAATGTTTCCCCAAGTTTTACTCAGAAGTGTTAATACTTTGTAAACAAAACAACCTCAGTATTAAGAAAGAAGAAAGAAAAACCGCAGGAAACAAGTCAGAGTTCTAGAAGCTTCTGTAAAATAAGAGGGTGTGGGACACCTGGGTGGCTCAGTGGTTGAGCATCTGCCTTGGGCTCACGTGGTGCTCTCGGGTCCTGGTATCGAGTTCCACAGGGGGCTCTCCGAGGAGCCTGCCTCTCCCTCTGCTTATGTCTCTGCTTCTCTCTCTCTGTGTCTCTCATGAATAAATAAATAAAATCTTAAAAATAAATAAAATAAGAGAACGTGTCAGGCAGTATGGCCCAGCAGACATTTAGGAGTGCCTGCCCCACATGGAATGGCTTCCCAGATGCAGAGGCCTGGCTTATGGTGAATTTACTGTTGGCAGCGGTGACCATGGGAGTCCTCAGATAGGATCTTGAGGCTTCTGCTTTGAGCAGCCAGTGCTTTAATCTCTTCACAATGTAAACAAAATGCGAGGGAATGAGAAGTATGAATGGAGGAGATAATTTATGGCAAAGTTTTCTTTCACCTTCTTTCCCTTGGCTTGAGATACCAATCTGGAAACTCTGAAACCATTTTTTTTAAATTGAAGTGCTCCAGAAGCTTTTGGCCAGGGCTCGAGAATACACTTCCATGCTTTGCTTTGGCTTCTCATTAAAGCACACTTAACTGGTCACTTAGTGTAAATTCCTTTAGGAGCACTCAACTTAAAGGCAGATTAGGTCCATGAGATTATGGAATCAAACCTTTCGGTTATTTGTCAAGGTCTAGTCAATCCAGAAGCTTTGGCTTTGTTAAAGCACTTACTCCGTCTGCAGAAGCTCCCCCAGTAAAAGACCAAACTGCCCAATCTTGCACCCACTCTTCTAGACCAAGCTTGCCTGTCTATTGGTGTCTTCCTTTCTGTAAATGCTTTCATTTTGCATTACTTTGTGTTAGGAAGTAGGGGGCTGCCTCTGTGAGGCAGCTTCAGCTGTGGCCACTGAGAGGAATTGGGGTTGGGGGGGCAGTAGGAAGTGACAGAGTGGGTGACACTTTCCATGATACTCAATTTAGGAATAACCCTGCCATTTTTCTGGTTCAAAGGATATTGGGAAAACTAGATTACTTCCATTTTATTCTTGGGAATTGGGTCATCTGAACTGGATTTTGAAATGGATTTTGGGTACTTTCATGCGGTATAAAGGGTGACTCTGTTACCCACTCCTGTAGACATAGTGTCTGAGGGCTGTGGAATGACCCAGAACCATGGCTGCTCAGGAAGCAGAGAATCTGAGCATAATCAGATCCAACCCTGTGGCACCTGCTGTCTGTGGATTAGGATCTGGATGGGACTCCTCTTTGAGTTTGTAAGGAAGACTACTTCTCTCTGTTGTTAGCCTGTAGACCCAGACTAGTGCCCAATAGGATACCTCCATGGCTGGTTCATTGCAGCATACACTGAATTGAATGGTCCCACATTTGATGGGCATATACTGCTTTTAATAATTCTTAGTTCCAGTCTCTGTGTAGCATCAAAGATCTAGGAAGAATCATAAAGCATACTACTGCAAAGACTCCAGGAAGCCTAAGAAAGATTGTGTGTGGAGTCAGATTTCAATGTGAAACCCAAGCCTTATATTTATGTAGCACTTTGTAGTTTGCAAATCTGTGTGTTCAGGCTTCTCTCCTTCCTTCTCAGTGGTCTTTGCAGGGATGATTGTGGACTATCATTCCTCTTTTCTCACCAGGGATGAAATAAGCTCCTCCCACTCCTCTCTCCCTTTACCTTGCCCAGTCACTGTGGGGTCCCAGCCCTGTGACGTTTGGTATGTGTGCATTGCGCTAAACATATCCACGGCCATGGTGGCTTTTTTGAAGTCATCCACTGGAAACCTGGGGGCGGGGATCCTCTTTTTCTCAGGGCTGAAGCGGTGACTGTCCCTCCTGCAGCCACTGGCTGCTGAGCTGACTGGATGGACATGTGACCTAGTCACTCTGCTTCCTTTCCTTTCTTCTGGAAATTTCACTGCTTCTTAGGTGCCAAGAGATCCTTGGATGGAAGAGGTAGTTAAAGAAATGGAATTCACTTGTTTTCTTTTAAAAGCATGTCAGGAGATGTCAGAGACAGAGCCTAGTGACTAGGAGTTAGTCCCTCCACCTTCCTCTCCCAATTTCTTCTCCTGTAATTATGGTAGCTTCCTCAGATAGACTTGAAGTGACAAACAATATCATAGAACTGAGAGAGCAAAAGAAAATATGCTTTAAGCCTCTTAAGGAGAGGTACCAGACAAATCCCAGCTGTATTTAAGTACATGGACACACACCCCTTTTAAAATAGTCTCCTTGAAAGGTAGTATTTTGATATTTAGCCACCCAGAAGATTTAAGTGAGTAATATAAGTACAGAGGATACCTTTCCAATAATATAATAAAAATATATAATAAAATAACCAGTAACTTCTGTTTAGTTTTAGAATATATCTCTTCTTCAGTCTAATAAAATAGGGTATTTGAGATTTCCCATTTTATTTTCCTTCCAATTTTGTGTGTATTTATCTCACAAGAGAAATCGAGTCCTAGAAATGTCAGGTGACAGTCCTAGAAATGTCAGGGTTTTATAATTTGTAATTAAGAAGGAAAGCCCCTGAAACTAGATCTTAACAATCCATAGGAAATGGATTAAGGAGGAGGAATAATTCTTACCTTCCCTGAAAGCCGCACCTCTCTGTGAACAAGATACCAAACAGCTCCACATTTTTCTATGTTGTGAGACAGGAAGCAATTTCCTTGCTTCCTCTGCACATTTTTACTCTTCCCCGTACTACCACAGACCACGGAAAACATTAAACATGATTCTACATTCAGAAAAGTCCTTCCAGATCTCTTCCCGTGAGATCTCACTGTTCTATACCGATATTTCTTTATATTGAGTCCAAAGGGGAAGAAGCATGCTCCATAGAGACATTTAGCATCCTGAAATAAACACCAGGATCTGTAATCACCATAGAATTTAATGTCCTTGCATGATGGGGATATGACATTTAGCACTGCATGGTGTTTGGGGCAAGATGACAATGTGGGAGTGATATCTTCAATTTCCTTGTGCTTTCATTCTCTGTCACCTGTCCTCTTTGAACTGAAAAAAGAGGCATGGCTCATTTCTTCTGCTTTATGTTTTTTGAGATTGCCTTGTAAGATACAAATAAAAACAAGAGAAAACATATCTAGTAAAATGATATGGAAAAAAAAATGGAAATCTATTCCTGGTGTTCGTTTTCTGCCCTGCACAGTGTTGCTTTCTTCAAGAACAAACTCCCTGGGAAGAATTTGATGGCTAAGCTTTTAGCTTCTACAAAGGTTGCAGTGCTCTCTGGTGGCCATCATAAGAATAACTGATCTAGACTTGATGTTTTTGTTTTTAAATACAGCATTTAATTATGTTGGGAAATCTATTTCAATAATAACTGATGGGCTCTTCTTCGGTGGTCCTCACCTTACAGACTTTTTAGTAAAAAGATATATTTATCAAAATTGTTGGTCTTCATAAAACTTGACTTGCACATTACGTACTCCTTCTCATTTCTAGGCACCCACATTTTGTTTAGAAAATTAGAAAAAGTTGCAGATCATAACATTAATACCTGTGGCACATATGTTTCTTAAAAAGCATAAGCTGTTTCTGTGTGAAGAATGAACAGAAAAAGTGTAGAAAGAGCATAATAAATTGCCTTTATTTTGGATCACTGATGAGGAGTTAGCCTGCATTTTGAACTTGATTCACACATCCTTGATTGCTGTCTACACAAATAAAAGGTTATTTTTTTTCTCTCTCTCCCAGTTACCACTTTTCATGTTG